ACTCCCCGCCAAACCACTAGAAACCACCTTTAAGTTCTTTGAAGATAGGCTCTCGCTTCTTTCAGTGGTTTGCGCGGAAAATAATAACAAAACAGCCCAAGCTTCTCTTTACTTTTGACCATTCAATTACAGATGAGAACGAATAACAAGGGAGTGTAGTACCTACTAATAATAATACTTTAGGGAGCGGACCGCATGCTAATTGAAAATAGGAACATTCATCGGTAGGCATTTCGGTGCAGGTGATGTAAACGAAATCTCTTCTTCTACTGAGTGATTCACATTGCGCTGTATTTTCCAACTACACATTGTATGCTAAGTGGTGCAGGATCTTTAGCTCGGCGGAAGTCGAGCTAAAGAGAAGAAGGAGACTCGGCGGTTACGCGGGCGAGCGACTCGTACACATATAATCCGCTGAAGTGTGTGTGGGTGTGTGTGTGTGTGTGTGTGTCACGAAATTCATAGCGCCCGTCCCAGTAGCTGTAGGAAGTTGATTCCGGGCAATGATATAGAGGCTGTGACGGGAACATTATTGGTGGGTGACAGGGAGTGATATCAGCTGATAAGATCCGATAAGAGGCGTCAGAATGGGAGGGCCATCGGGTCCATAGTGCAGGACACAACAACAATGGGACGTTGGTTCCAAGGTATGGTATAAGTGTGGAGGCAGGAACATATTGATGAGTACAGGGAGTGATATCAGTTGATAGATCCGATAAGAGACGTCTGAAGGGGAGAGCCATCGGGTCCATAGTGTGGGACACAGCAACAGTGGGACGTTGGTTCCAGTATGTTAGGGTGTGGGCCAGGAACATTACTGATGGTGACAGGAATGCATTCAGCTGATAAAGATCCGATGAGGGGAGTTAGAACGTTAAGGTCTCCACACTCATACCGCAGGACACAGCATCAGCTAGGAGTTGATTTCAGAAAATGATGTAGGGTGAGAAGTGGGGACATCGAAGGCAGGTGACATGGACGTGATAACAGCTGATAGGGGCAGATAAGGAACGTTGCCATTGTTGTTCAGTCAAAGTGCTGGAGCCTTTACACTACCATATTATAGAGTAGTAGTGATAGGGACATTGTTAACGAGTGACAGGCAATCTTATCAATTGATAAGAATGATAAGGGCAGTTGTCATTACATCTCTTATCGCTATACTGCCAGTATTGGAGGCCCCGTGTGCAAACTTTTCCTTTAGCCATCACTTCTCTATGATAGCCCTAGAAAATGAACTCATCCCACTAATGTCGAATGTCGAAGTCGACGAGCGGGGGGGGGGGGGGGGGGGGGAGGTATGTAGTTCGCCTAAAACAGGAAACTCAGGAAAAATTCGAGGAGAACCGAAAAACATGAATAATGTGGCACTTCATGCGTTCAATAGCACTTTTACTTTTGAACTTCCAATTGCTGATTAGATCGAATAACAAGGGCTCATAGTACCTACAAATAGTTATAGTTCAGCGGATTGCAAGCTAAGTGGAAAGGGAAACGTTCATCGGTAGGCATTTCGGTGCAGGGAATGGAAACGAAATCAGCTTTTTACTGAGCGATTCATACTGCGTTGTATTGACCTACTACACATTGTGTCTATATCTACAGATTTATGTTTTGTATGGGCGTAATGGTGCGGACCACACCCCACTGCTGCAAATAGAAGCGTGTGCTAAGTAGTGCACGATCCCAAGCCTTCCTCTATCTGCAACGATTCGATCACTACAGCGCCGTATGAGCAGCCCACTATTGAAAAAGTTCCGTTTCCATTATGGAACGCGCCTGGCGAAGCCAGGCCAGCTCGGCGAAGCCGAGCTAAAAGAAGAGAGAGAGCTCGGCGTTAGCCGGGCGATCCGACTGGTAGAGTTTATAAAGCGTTTCTCAAGTAGACATGAAAAAGAACATTGAATGAGGTCGAAATACAAGTGCCTTACTTAGCATACAGTGAGGTACACAGCAGTTTTTTGGGGTTTATGCAGCATCCCTTCGCGCTCGCAGTGGCCATTTAGCGCCACGCTGGCCCCAGATCACGTCGGCGCCATAAATAATTGTCAGAATCGTGATCAGGGCCATTGATTACCCCTGTTTAAGAGGTTTCAGCGAAAAATTTTTTTCGACTTTAGTGGTCATGGACCTGACCATTTGAATGGCAGAGACAGGTGAACACTCCGTTAAGTATCCTTTCTGGCAGACGATCCGCCAGAAATTTTTCATTTCTTGCCCCGCAACTTCATAGAACATCGTGCTAGCTTCGGAGCCACTAAACGAGCATCCTGGATCTTTCTTCACTTTTACCGTCTATGCTTTCGACAAAGAACTCGTTACCACTTGCCCGGAGAAAGGTTTTTGTTTCTCATATCAAAGGTATGAGAGGAGTGCAGTGTATGTGCATTACATTTTTGTGTAGTTTTTAATTCTGCGTCTGCATACTAGCAAATGAAAAGCTTCCTCTTAACGATGTTGGATAACGACTCCTTGGGGGGGGGCTGATAGCCACTAGCTGGAGACATGGCCGGCAACATAACACAAAAAGCTCGGGAAAATTTTTCTCGGCGTAACTCTATACGTAGGGGTAATTGATGGTCCTGATCACGGTTCAGATACTTATTTTTGCCGCGGAGGCCATCTGGGGCCAGTATGGCGCTAAATAGCCCCGCCGCGCAGACTGACAATGATGGTAGTACGAGAAAGCCTTTGCACCAAATTAGCGACACATTGCGCCATATTCAAAAATGAGTGTCGTGTTCATGAACAGAGCATCGGATAACCGCCGTAACCCAAGTTTCATGAAGAGTTTTTCGATAGTATTTCGCGAGCGTAATAATTGAGTGAGGCCTATTTGTGAACCGTTCCCGCATGGAATGTGCCTTCAAATGGCGTATATCCGGGTCATACACATTATGGGGCATACAGGAATACAAGAAGCAAGAAATGTGAAAAATGCAAAAATTGTGTCGGCAAGGGGATCCGATCCATAAACCCACCGACCGAGAGCCCGTCGCACTATCCACCACACCATCTGCCACTGCGACACTAGAGATACAGGACCTGTTGAAGAGCGCAGATGACCGGAAAACTCCAATGCAGCTCACCGCATGCCAAGTATTTGGATTTTGACCTTATTTTGCGCTGTTTTTCATGCCTGCTCAAAGGATACCCTACATACTATACCCTGTCAACGCTACAGCTAGAACAGAGGTGGTTTAAGCCCATTCTTTTCGAATTGTTTTTGACCTTTTTTGACATTCCCAGAACCGTTTAGCAAAAATGAACCCCATCGCTATGGTCCTCGCATGGACCCCTACAACATGCAACAAACCGTTTTGAAAAAGCTCACCACGGCCTGAACGACCTCCCTTGTAAGGACGTTTACTGTGTTCAGTTAAGTTGTCGAAATACATTTCCAAAGATGATTTGTAGTCATAGAAGCCACTTCTATTGCAAAGATGTCAGTTGATTCAAGAAACCTCGACTACGACTATCTGTATTTAGTTGCCTGGAAGTCTGTCTCTACAGGACGTTCCTAAAGGTCTACTATTAGGTTGTCCGGAAAGTTCTCAGCGTTTTGTGCACCTATTTTTTGTACATTCACTGCTGATTAAAAACTCATTCTGCCTTGCTTCTCAGTAGCACATCCTGTAGAGAATTTCTTGCGCTATCTGATGGTATAATTGCCGTTTCACCATTGCTTGATAAACCCCTTTTTTCAAGATTTTTTCAAGCATGTGAAAAGAGCACTTCGGACGATTTTTTTCTTCGACTATAAATTGGGGCAATCCGCAATCGAAACAGCTCAACAAATTAACCAGGTGTGGGGCCCAATAGTGCTAGAGAAAGCACTGTGCGGCAATGGCTCAACAAATTTCGTTCTGGAGATTTCAGCCTTGAAGATGAACCTCATAGCGGTCGACCTAAAGCAATATCTGACGAGGATTTTAGGGGGATTTTGGAGGCTGACCCATCCCAAACAGTTCGAGAGATAGCAGAAGAGCTAGGCCTTGGCAAATCCACTGTTGATGGTCTGGAACGCATTGGGAAGGTGAAAAAACTCGACAATTGGGTGCCCCACAATCGGAGTGACCGGCAGGAATCGGCACGTCTCGAGGTTCCTTCTGCATTGCTTTTGCGCAGCAGAAACGACCTGTTTTTGGACCGAATTGTCACCTGTGATGAAAAATGGGTCATGTATGATAACAGGAGACGTTCCGGACAGTGGTTGGATTTCGACGAACCACCGAGGTAATTTTCAAAGCCGAACCCTCACGAAAAAAAGATTCTGGTCACGGCTTGGTGGTCATCGGCTGGTGTGATCCACTATAACTTTTTATCACCAGGCCAAACCATCACAGCAGAACCCTACTGTGAAGAAATCGACGAATTGTACCGAAAATTTTGTCAGATGCAGCCAACACTTATCAAAAGAAAGGGTCCGATTCTTTGCATGACAACGCCCGCCCACACGTTTCACAAATCACTATCCATAAATTGAACGAATTGGGGGTTGAAGTTCTACCTCAACCGCCATATTCTTCAGACCTTTCGCCAACCGACTATCACCTTTTCTAACATTTTCAGAACTCCCTTGCTGGAAAATACTTCATCAATCAGGACCAGGCAAAAAAGCCTTAGTGGATTTCGTGAATTTTCGACCACCCAGTTTTTTACTTTGATGGGATTTCTCGACTGCTGTCACATTGGCAAAAGTGTGCTGATTCGAATGGTGCCTATTTCGATTAAATCCGATGAGTATTAAAAAAGTTACGATCGTTTAAAGTGAAACACCCAAAACGCTGAGAACTTTCCGGACAACCTAATACGTGTGCATCTCACATTTTTTCATGAATTGTCATATAATCGGGTATGTAAATGTTTGGTAGATAGCACGTATTCACATATATTAACCACATTACTTTGTTGCTGCAACTGAAACAGTTCTGAAGCTCATTCAATTTTCATGACTAGAGCGGTGAATTCAAAAGCATATATGAAAAATAATAAAACAATCATGAATAATTCTCCTTCACTTGTATATTATTACTGACATTAGAGACAGTATGTGTCATTGATATTTGGCCAGCTGATGCAAGCCAAAAAACAATTGCCAACGATGTGCAACCGTAAACAACCATCAAGGAGTCACGTAGGAAAACTCCGAGAAGTATAGACAGTGACAAGCGCGACGAGTCGAAAACCCATGAAAAACGACTGAAATATTTCTTCTGAAGATAACAAGTCAAAACAAGTTCTTGTTCACAGATGTTATGAATGTGTAACAAACCTATGATCAAAATAGTAGCCGAACATTTGTATGTAAGCAATAAGAAAGCTGAGTCGGCAGAGGAATTCGGTCCAACCGAGGAATGTACGGAGCATATTGAATTGCAGAAAACAATGTATCAGAAATACCCACTGTGCTAAGAGATAGTAGCGAATAGCGTCGGAAAGTGGAGGATTATAGCGAACAGTAGGAAGGCGCTCGACCTACAGAACAAATCTTGCTGCTATATTAATTTAAGAGCCAACTCTCATCAAGATATCAGTGCTGAATAGCGGCTGTACACTTTGGCATCATTTCAGGCGTTGTGCCTTCGATGCTACCCAATGCCCAGTACAGCTAAGATTACCAACCATCAGCGGTTACAGAACTCACTTTAGGTACTCCCTCAGTACTGTCCTCCATACAAAACCACAAAAAGAACTGCTTTGTTCGCATTCCCGGAAAGCTAGGCTGGCCGGCCAGAGAGCGCCGCTGCCTTAACCTACATGTAAATATTTTCATTTTATTATATTATATAGCTACTTTGATTATAATGTTTTATATATTATTATACTTATTATTCATTATTGCCTATTTCTATTAACTACTACTGCCTTATTACATCATGCCCACTTTGTCATGCCATTCATTTTATGCTATTCTATTCTACTCTATTATTAATATTCCCCTATTACTATTATTATGACTAAATTTTCCCTACAGACAGATTGACAATCTTCTGCTTATATATTCCTCGGAGTGGAAAAATATGGAGTTGTTATATTCAGAGCCTCAGAATTTGCCCCCTTGAAATTGTCCTTTCTCACCTTGTTCCACGTTCCTGGAAACAGCTCCTCATTTTTCTCGTTTCTCATTTGACCTTTGTCGTAACCGAAAACTTTGAATGCGAAGAACTGAAAACTACCCCTCACTTTTCCTAGGTTTCTCTCATGTAAGAAGATGATCAGCCATCAGCAAACCTGACACCACATTTGATTGAATGACCCCACAGGCGTAACAGTCCGTAAGCAATCTCTTCTTCTTTCCGTTCCGGTTCGTAAGTGCCGAAAAGTCTGGAAATGGTGAAACGTTGCATTTTCAATCTACTGAAGTGCGCTGTTCTTTTGCCCGGAAACCGAGAGGCGCACACGTGCTGTGATACGTGACCTGCCTTGCCTTATTGAAAAAGCGATTTGGGACTCCGGAAAACCACAAGTACCAATAACCCCACCTGTCCCATATAATCAAGACGCCGCCATAGTTTTTGTCGATGCAATATGGATTTCTTCCGTGGTGGACTCGGTGACTAGATGGAGTGTTAATGAAGTACTCAAGTGGGCCGAGATAAGGTACAATCTGAAGAATGACTATAAAGAATATAGGTTTAAACACCCTAGAAGTTTCCTGTGTAGCAAAAAAAGACGGCATTAAAGGGGTTGCTCCCCCTCACCAATACTCCTCTGAAACCGCGGCATTTGCAAGACTGTTTTATGATTTTCACTTATACATGGTCGGACCAAGCAGAATTTGTCGCTGCCAGTCTATCCATAGAGCGCTACTTATTCAAAACCTGTTAGAGCGTCAATGTTTGTATGTTGCTATTCCAGTGAGCACCACAAAATGGATACAGGGAGATTCTCGTGGCAACTGCTTGGTAGCCACGCTAGTGGACGCCGCATCCGCTCGAGTTTGAGTTGTACTGTCTAATGGCTCGCTCAATGTATTTAGGGGGTCGCGGAAGAATATTTCGCCAACGGGATGTTGGTCGAGAACGCCGTGATCTAACGCAATTTTTTTTTCTCTAGCAACAACCCATGAGTACGGCAATGCAGCTGAAATTGCCGCGCCATTCGCCGCGAGCAACCATATTAGCTCACGATCAAATTGCCCGTCTACCTCACACAGCCGACCTCACGGGCCTATGAAGGTTGGTTGCCCTGCGATTACCTGCAGGTCCTCTTTCCAAAGCGCCATCGTTGCGTTCGTCCCGAATGATGACAATTGATCAGTACTTTAGACTAAAACTACTATACGGCACAGCACTTACGTTCGAGTGGATCCAGAATTGAGAGAGAAGATTCAGAGAGCGGTGAACGTAGAAAATGTTCGGTGGGATGGCGATAGCTTGTAGCAGGTCGAAAAACATATGCATAATATCCTTAATTTGAGAAGTTGAGAAATGATAGAATACTGGTGACATTCAACTTTGAAATCGCTACTCGCTCCGTTTTTCGAAAATTGCGCTAATTTGCCATTCCACTAAGTTTATGAATAAGCCAACCGCAAGATCGCGATCTATCGATATTTGGGTGCGCGCGATCGTGCGATGGGAACTTGATGCCACTCTAAATAAATGGACCAAGACATCGTTAGACGACGTTGTCTTGTGGGCTTCTACTGAGCACATGTACATGTTGCTCTAACTAGGGATGGTCGCCAGGTCGAAGTGGTCATTTTGAATAATGCATAGTCCAAACGGAGTTATGGAGCTTTTTCCTCCGTCTATCAAGCACCAGGACATGGAATTGGAACCCTACTAGACTTAGTTTTTTTCGCCTTTGGAGGAACATGGCAAATAGTGAGTGTCATTACTACATCAGTATTCACCTAAACCAACCGTAATAGTGCAGTTATCACTGCTCTTGGGCGCCTTATGATCAAGAAGAAGATTTGGGTGTACAGGTGCCTCGGCACGAAGTGGCGTTTTCGCGCTGGGCGCGTGTCATGTTTGAGTTCAGCGGTCAAATTACTTTTAGGTACACGTTTCTAGCCAAGTCTGGCATTTTCACCTGCCTTCGCTAAGTGAAGCGTCCAAGGTGTGCATTCCTCATCTTGCCATTTATGACGCATTCATTTTGTTACTGCTCCGATTTTCCTGACATTTAAAAGCAAAATCCGTTGAAGACAAGCAATCGATCCTACCACAGCTGTCATTCCACCAATTGCTGCCTTACTTTTTCGAAGTTAGGATAAAACCTTACATTTGGTTGAGATCTGGCTTAGGGCTGGTCTCTCCCCGAACACGGAAGCGACACACATTTAACGTGTGACTGTTTTCTAGACTCAAAAGGGACATTCCGCGCACAACGCGAAAAGTTGCCCTCCTCGAAAACTGAACCTTTGCGTCACGCCTGTGAACCAAAACACTTCCCAATACACCATGCTGCGGCCCGTTGTGGGCTCGCTTTGAGATTATTCATACTAATAAAGCGGCAACCGCGGTTGCTTGCCCGTTCACTCGAACGAACTTTTATAACTCGATTCAGAGAACCAATCTTCAAATTTGGAAGGAACCTCCGAGATCAGAGTCTAAAAACACGTGGGGTTTTCTATGTCTCACAAAAATAGCCAGGCCTATCGACCTTCCCTAGTGAGTAATATCTCGCCTTCCCTAGTAAGTAATATCTCGCTGATTCAAAGCGTCTAGCTTTCAATGAATTACAATAAAAAAAACCTGAATAGCTCCTTCACGTATACCAGTACTGAGATTGAAGTATTCGGAAGAGTGATGCATCTGATGAAACGACCAAAACACCCCAACTTCTAAAGAAAATATACTGATATGCACGATTTGAACATAATTCGCAAAAGGAGTGGAACGCACTGGGGTTATAAGATCAGATAAGAGGTTTTTTCAAAGAAGATTAACTTGGTTTCTATGCTTTTGTTCCAGAAGACACAGTACTCATTTGAACTCGGAGCCCAGTGAAGCAAAAAATTGTTTGTTTTGGGTGCCGGTAATCCTTCGTCTTGCCTAGAAGATCATCCTCCGCAGTTCCCTCGAGATGAGTTCTAACCAACGGTAGGAGCTTAATATTTAGTGATAAACAATCTCTGCAAGTCATATTCATAT